GGGGCTGGTGAGATGGCTCAGTGGTCTAAAGCACCTACTTAGAACAAGCTAAGCAAAGCACAGGGACCGCAGTTCAATCCCCCAGCACCACATGCCAGCCAGCCCCGCCCCCTGGTGGGCTGAGCTGGCCACACACAGACACAAAATAAATAAATAAATAAATATTAAAAAAAAATTAAAAAATAAATTGTGCCAATCTGTAGGGACAATGTGGCAACCCATTTCCCTGTGTATTTGTGCAGTCTGTGGCATCGTGGGCTGTGTCCCTTTAGCCCACACCTTTGTCCTCCACCATCACCCTACTTGGGTACAGACAGGTGGTATTTACAACTCTAGGGTCTGGGTCAGTCTTGGGACTCATCACACAGAATGAACTTGAGGAACACAGATGAAGACAGACTCATGTTAAGTCTGCACCCTGCACCAGGCACTGGGGAAAATACCAGATGTGTGTTTTGTTACCTAACCTATGTCGTACAGTCAGAAAAACTGAGTCAGGAAAACTGTCAGGAAAACTGAGGCACAGAGCAATTTACTTGTCCAATGTCAGCTCATATACTCAAACAGGACTGGGTAGACATTAAATGACTGGTCAGAGAGACACTCATCCTGCAAAGCAGTTATCCAAGGCCTCCAAAGGAAGAGATCATTCTGTGGAGGGTCAGAAAAGGCTGCAGGAGGTCTGGGCAGTGTATGGTGTCCAGCAGGCAGGGTCCGCAGCAGGAGGGATGCCCACCCATGCAGGGCAGCTCCAGCTGTTGCTTGCCTTATCCATCCTTGCACTGACTGAGGAGGCGGTCATATCCCCTGGGGAGGTAGAAGGGAGCAAGAGAAAGTGAGGACTGGAGGCAATGGTGTGTGGACCTACAGATGAGCACAGCTGGATGAGAGACATCTTTGAAAAGGAGGGCGAGGGCCGGTGAGATAGCTCAGCAGACTACGTGCCTGCTTTGGCAAGCGCAGGGACAGGGGTTCAATCTATGCCCCTGAATGCTGCGCCAGCCCCGCCCTTGGGACACACTGAGCCTCTGTTGGAGTCTGGGCATGGTGTGCACACCTGTAATTCCAACCCAGCGGAGGCTGAAAACAGGAAGATCACTAGGAATCTGAGCTGCATAGTGAGACCCTGTACCAAAATACATAAATGAAAAAAAAAAAAAAAAAGGAAAGGAGGGTGACCGTGACCAAGACCTGCAGAGGCCTCTGCTGTCCCAGCATAGCTATAGCATGGCCCTCTTGGGTTCCCCGCAGGTCCGTCCTCCTGTGGCCAGAAAATGCCACAGCTTGGGAACGCGTGCCCTGTGGTGGGTGCCTCAGGATCACAAGAGCCCATGGGAACTTGCTTCTGCCCAAGGGAGCCCTGCTGGGTCCTGAGCTTCCTGCTCTCCTGCACACAGGCCCAGTCTGCCCTAAAGGCCCCAGTCCCCTTCCTCAGGCATTTCCCAACCTGGGAAAGGCCTGGACAAGAGCAGGCTGGCCTCCAGGTGATCTGAGGCCCCACTGAGCAGACCCCAGTGGGACTCCCCAAAGCAAGGCTTGTGTTCTTCAGTGTCCCCTGAGAGTGGGATCTGCACATACCAGGTCTGCAGGCATCTTTGATCACGAATAAGGACCCTTTAGAGAAGACTGGCCCTGGCCAGGCTAGGCACTCTCAGAACTGTCACCTAAGGACCAGTGACAGGGCTCTTCGCCCACCCCTCCAGCTGGCATGCTTTGCTCCCCTCCTTAAAGCCTCCTAACTGCCCCAGGGAGTCCCCAAGCGTAAGGCTATAGCAAAGGACCCAGATGATTCAGTCCAGGATCCCCCGGCACAGGATGATTGGGTCCAGAGTGCTGCTGACCCATAGCCTCTGGGAGCACAAGAGAAGTTGTCCCTTGCAGTATCCCTCACAGGTTGCCACTGTGCTAAGTGATCACTAAGCACTTGGGAACAGAACTGACAGGGCCAACAAGGCTCTTGTTCAGCTCCAAATGCCCTTAAGAATATAAATAGTCTTGTAGCATGGTATGGACACTTGACTTACCCTTACCAGCTTAGATGTTCCTTGAACTGGAGGGCTCAGCCTAGGACCCCACCCTCACCCCAACTATACACAGCTGGGTATGAGATGGGCTGAAACTGGTCACGATGAGGTCTGGTCATCAAAGTCCTCTAGCCAGGCAAGAGGAAGTCAGGACTGAATCCAGGCTCCAGCCAGAATGGAGAAACTGAGGTACCAAAGGAGATGAAAGTAGGGCCATCATGGGTGCTCCATCATGGGTGTCTGGTTATGTCTGCCTTCCCTTCAGGGAGCAGGGATTTGCTGTGGGGCAGGGGAGCCAAACCAGGTGTAGGGGGCACAGCGAGGACAGCTATGGAGCCTGTGAGGAGTAGGAGGTGATTTCATGTCCCAAGGCTGCAGGAGCGATGCCACAGTGGGCCTCGGCTCCTGTGGTTCATGTCTTGGCTTGAATAATGCCCCCCAGAAGATGCTAGGTCCTAACTCAGGTACTTATGGATTGGCCTTACTTGGAAAAAATATCTTTCCTGATGTGCTCAAGTTAAAATGATGTGACACTAAGTTAAGGTGATCCCCAAATTCATTGTGACTGGTGTCCTCATAAAAAGGGGAAGTGGGCAGAGAAGGAAAAGCACCATGTAAGATAAAGCCAAGAAAGAAAGAAAGAAAAAAAAAAAGATAAAGCCAGGGATCTGGATCTGGTGATGCCTCTACAAGCCAAGAGCCAGAGGGCACAGGGAGGACCTAGAACACAGCACCAGAGGCACTCCCTGCTGATGTCTCCTTTCTGATCCACAGCCCTGAGCAGAGATGCTTCTGCCACTGCAGCTGCTTAAGGCACTGGATGCAGCCCTGAGAAGGGCCAGGAACCTGCAGCTTTGGTGGCTGGGCAGCGGGACCTACATATTGCCACCCCTAGTCACTGGCTCATTACGATAACTACCACCTTCTCTTCCTCCTACACAGACCCTGATCTGAGATTTCTGCGGGAGGGATGGAGGCCAGGTTGTCAGGGTCAATCTAATCTAAGGTAGTGGGGGTCTAACTACCCTAAGAAGCCCCACAGCCCAAGTCACACCTGTTTCCTTTCCCTTGGGACCCCTAGATGTGTCCCTTGAGAATCTGGTAAGCTCTGTGACTTGCACCTTGGACCTCACTTCCCTCCCCCCATCCCCATCCCCATCCTACCATGCAGCCCATCCACACTGTCCTCCCTTCACTCCTCCCTCCTACCACCCTTCTTCCCTCTGTCGGCTCCACTGGCCAGCACATGCCCACCCAGCACTAGCTGGAGGCCTGACAGGTCTGTCCTTGCCCTGCTGAGGCAGCTTGTGCAATGCCTCAGGAAAGAGAGGTGGCCGGTAGTAGTGTGGGGGGCAGCTCTGCAGACTTTCTGGGGGCTGCAATAAGCAGGACTCTGCAGACCAGGCCTGTTGGTGGAATCCTGAGGATCCTGGAAAATTGTGTGGTTGGACTCTGGGGCTCCAGAGAGCAGAGTAGGAAAGGCCTGGGGACATACTCCATGCAGAGCAGAATCTGCACTTTGGACTCAGCATCTTGTGGCACCTTGAGTGGGGAGGGAAAGGTCTAGGATTTTTGTTCCAGGTGAGGGGCCATCAAAACACAGAAAATCCAGGGAGGGTTCTTCTTGGAGCCATGGACAGATACAGAGGACTGAGACAGAGCCCCTGATAGAGCCATAGGAGGGTGGACCACAGCAGAAGGTGAAGCCAGACAGAAGGGACAACTGTCCCCAGGGTTTGGGGGCAGGGACAGAACTATGTGTCCCTGGAGGTGAGCCCCACCCCCACTCTGTCATGGGAGGCAGCTCCCCAGCACTGACTTGATTGAATCAGCCCCAACCTCATACCAGGAGGACAGAGAACTGGCCCTGGCCCAAGAACCAAACTGGCTTTCTAGGGCCTCCCTGCTTCCTCTAGAGACCTTGCCAGGTAGGGTGAGCAGCTGTGGCTGTGGCCCCTTCTCTCTAGTAGGTCCTCTATGCCAGCCTCAGAGGGAGGACGCCGTAGGTCTCCCCCAAGTGAGGGTGCTTGGGATCACTTGGCATTATACCTGTACCTGGGTGTCCTAGGGGGCACAGTCATCCTTGGAAGAATGGAGGCTGGACCCCAGCTGCCTGTAAAAGAAGACTAAGGCCATGGGGATAGATGCAGGGGTGTAGGCCGAGCAACAGCTTCCCATGGCAGCAGGGATGGCTCTTAAATGAAGCCAGTGTCTAC